GTTGTGGTAGCAAGCAACATGCCTTGGTGGGAGGATTTTAGGTGAGAAAGGTGTCTCTGTGTGGGCCCCTGTTCTCACCTCTCCTCCGCTTGTCACCAGCTATCCAGGGTGGGAAAGGGGTGTGGGGAGGGGTGCGGGGCAGGCTGTGAAGAGGCCCAGCCCCTCCCCCATGCCTGCTCCCCCTTTTCCCTGGAGGGCACCCCCATCTCCTGCTGGCCCGTCTTCTGGCTCAGCTCACGCTGTCCTCAGGGGCAGACTAAGCCCCACCTAGTGCACGTGCCCTCATTAATCGTGACCTGCAACTAGCCAAGGGTGTCCGGAACTCCTCCCTGCCAAGTCAGCCTGCGCCCCCGGAGAACGCACCCCCCGCCCCCCAGCACACACAGCGCGCAGCCCGTTTCCCAGTTCCAGACGCTCGGTACCTGCTTTAGGGGGTGGGGAGAGGCGGTTAGAACTGGATTAAACCCCGCCCCCTGCCCGTGGCCCCGGGAGCTGGGTTTTTGTTTGCACACCATCTTGGAGCCTGGAACCGTGTAGCCGCCCGGCCCTTCCAGCCAGGGGCCGGGCCCCCCGCAGGAGTGCTCCAGGCTGACCCCAGGGAGCAGGGGAGAGTGGCCCGCAGGCAGGGAGAGGCCCAGGCTGTGCCCTGGGGTTCTGAGTGGGATGGGAGCCTGCGTCCCGGGCTGGGGGATCCGGAACAGGCGTCTGGCGGGCTTCCTGGAGGAGGAGACGGGAGGGCGGAGGCGAGACGGCGAGGGGGGCTCCCTGCCCCTTTGTGGCCATGCTGCGGGACAGCGCGGCAGGAGGGCGCACCCCGGCCACGGGGCAGGGTGGAGCCGAGCACGGCTGGAGACGCGGGCGCGCCCCCAGTGCCAAGGCCTCGCCATGCGCCGCGCGGTCCCGGCCGTGCCCAGGGTCGGGGCGGACGCCGCCACGCCCGGGGCGGGCGCGGGCGGGGCGGGCGGGGCGCGCGAGGCGGCCCCGCCGGTTCCTCGTGCAGTTCCGCGGCGGCGGCGGCGGCGGCGACATGGAGAGCGGGGCCTACGGCGCGGCCAAGGCGGGCGGCTCCTTCGACCTGCGGCGCTTCCTGGCGCAGCCGCAGGTGGTGGCGCGCGCCGTGTGCATGGTGAGCCCCGGGGGAAGACTGGGCGCCGCGGGGACACCTTCCCGCCAGTCCCGGCGGGGGCCGCGAGTCTGCCGGCCCGCGGGCGCGACAGGTGGCGATGGCCGCGCGTCCCCGGCCTGGCGGCGGAGTGGGGCCGGCGTCCTGCGTCCCAGCGCCGCCTTCCCTCCCTCTGCGTCCTGGGGACAGGACGCGCTGTCCTCCCCCGCCCCCGCACCCCCCGGCCCCGGGTCCCGCCGCCTACCCCACTCCCCGGTCCCGGCCGCGGGTCCTGCCGCCTACCCCACTCCCGGGTCCCCGCCCCGCCGCCCTGGCGCGGGGTGTCGGCAGGCGCCGCGGGGAGCAGGCCGTCGGCCGGCTGGCGGCGGAGTGGGAGGAGCCTGGGGGCAGCTCCTGGACAGGTGGCCCGCACGCCGCGACTCCCAGCTTGGGGAATTCACCAGGAAGGGGCTTTCCGAAGCCACGTGGGGTGCAGGGTGTGGGGCGGCCTCGCGCCCTGAAACAAAGTCTGCATCCTATTAAGGAGCAAGCCAGGAGTCTGCTTCCCCACCCAAGATCGGCTGTCCCAAAGGCGTACCCCCTCCGCATAAGCGGGGCAGACCCTTCAACGCTGGGTTGGGGTCCACGTTCTTGGACAGCCGGCGCTGGAAGCTGGACGAGGTGTCAGGAGGGACAGGCAGAGGGTGTGCCTGCTGTGCCGGGACCGTGCCTGAGACCCGAGCCTCCGAGGTGCCCCCATGGCACCCACACCCCCTCCCAGCCTGGCTGTGGGGTCTGACAGCCTCTGTCCTGGGCTGTGCCCAAGGAACAGATGCCCAGTGGGTCGGGACGGCAGTGCCAGGAGTCTTGGATGGGCACCCTGCTCCCAGCATCCCGGAGTTCCGGCTTCAGTCCCAGCTGGGGGTGGGGCTTGTGACTGCCTGCTCCAGAGCCCTGCAGTGGCCTGTGGGGCAGGGGCAGGGGTCCCTCCTGCATGTGCTGAGGTGGGGTAGGCCTTGAAGTTTCGAGAGGTGGCATGGGCTGTTTCTTTTTTTTTTTTTGAGACAGAGTCTCGCTTTGTTGCACAGGCTAGAGTGAGTGCCGTGGCGTCAGCCTAGCTCACAGCAACCTCAAACTCCTGGGCTCAAGCAATCCTGCTGCCTCAGCCTCCCGAGTAGCTGGGACTACAGGCATGCGCCACCAAGCCCGGCTAATTTTTATATATATATATTAGTTGGCCAATTAATTTCTTTCTATTTATAGTAGAGACGGGGTCTTGCTCTTGCTCAGGCTGGTTTCGAACTCCTGACCTCGAGCAATCCGCCCGCCTCGGCCTCCCAGAGTGCTAGGATTACAGGCTTGAGCCACCGCGCCCGGCCGGCATGGGCTGTTTCTAAGAGGTGGACTCACCTACCCCTACCCCGGCTCCTCCAGGGGTCAGAGTTCACAGCTGTGTCCATAGGCCTGCTGGTCAGACGCCCACTCCCCATGTGACCTGGGGCCAGGCAGGACCCACTGTGGGGCTGAGGCAGACCAGGGCTCTCATGGGGGGACCGGGGTGCCAAAGAGGCCGGAAGCCCTTGTATGAAGAAAGCTTACCAAAGTGGGGAGTCCAGCCTGGACTGGGTGGGGTTGGGGAGAGTCAGAGTGCACTGAGGCTGGGAGGGGGCTCCAGGAGGTGGGAGCCCCAGGGGCGCGAGCGTGGCTTTCCTGAGGGGCTCCCCAGGGTGTTCAGGCAGAGGCTGGGCACTCTAGAGGTGACTTGAGCAGAAGGTGACGGGATGGAGGGGGGTGAGTGAGACCCCAAGCTTGGGTTTCTGTGACTTTGTGGCCCCCCCTTGTTTAAAATGGGTTCAATAGGCCGGGCGCGGTGGCTCACGCCTGTAATCCCAGCACTCTGGGAGGCCGAGGCGGGAGGATCACTTGAGGTCAGGAGTTTGAGACCAGCCTGAGTAAAAGTGAGACCCCATTTCTACTAAAAGTAGAAAAAATTAGCCAGGCATGGTGGTGCATCTGTAGTCCCAGCTACTCGGGAGGCTGAGGCAGGAGGATCCACTGAGCCCAGGACTTTGAGGTTGCTGTGAGCTAGGCTGACACCACAGCACTCTAGTCCGGGCGACAGAGCAAGACTTTAAAACAACAAAAACTAGTTCCATGAAGGCAACTAAAGGTGTAAAAAAAACCCCACAAGACCAGGCGCGGTGGCTCATGCCTGTAATCCTAGCACTCTGGGAGGCCGAGGCAGGAGGATTGCTCAAGGTCAGGAGTTCAGAACCAGCCTGAGCAAAAGCAAGACCCCGTTTACTAAAAATAGAAATAGATTAATTGGGCACTAAAAATATATAGAAAAAATTAGCCGGGCATGGTGGCGCATAGTCCCAGCTACTCGGGAGGCTGAGGCAGGAGGATCGCTTGAGCCCAGGAGTTTGAGGTTGCTGTGAGCTAGGCTGACGCCATGGCACTCTAGCCTGGGCAACAGAGTGAGACTCGGTCTCAAAAAACAAAAATCCCCCAAAAGCAAAAAAATCCCCAAACTGGTTCAAAGTTGGGGTGGGTGATTGCCCTTCATCCCCTCAGGTTCCCAAACAAGGTGGTCCCTGCAGGCAGGCAGCTGGGGGGGCGGTCTGCTAAGGTCCCATCCGCCCGCCTTGTGGCGAGCGCGATCAGCTAGCGAGCCAGGAAGCAATTTGCTCATCAGCTCGGTCTGCCAGTTCAGAGGGGCTATGATGTCGGCCTCCAAAAGGGGACAGCAGTAGTGGAGGGGGCGGGTCCCCGGAGGTGTCCCTGCCGTGTGCCCCCATAGGGGTCTGTCCTGCGGCCACGCAGCCCTACCGACCCTCCTCTCCCGCAGGTCTTCGCCTTGATCGTGTTCTCGTGCATCTTCGGCGAGGGCTACAGCAACACCCACTCATCGAAACAGATGTACTGCGTGTTCAACCACAACGAGGACGCCTGCCGCTACGGCAGTGCCATCGGAGTGCTGGCCTTCCTGGCCTCGGCCTTCTTCTTGGTGGTCGACGTGTATTTCCCCCAGATGAGCAACGTCACTGACCGCAAGTACCTGGTCATCGGTGACCTGCTCTTCTCAGGTATCCGCCTGTGGCACCTACGTTTGAGCTTGGGAGGTGAACGGGAGTGGGAGGTGTTAGCTCTAGGGGTCTGAGATGGGGGGGCCCCCTTGGCCTCGAGGAACTGGGAGCATCTCGGGGGTCCCCAGCCCCACTTGAGTGGACAGGCTTTGCCTATGTCCCTTTTATTCCCCGGGCTGGCAGGTAAGGGTTTCTGAGCGCCTGCTGAGACCCACTGGTGTTGAGGCATGAGTTCGGGGCTTGGGAGCCCAGAATCCCTGCTGAGCGCCCCACCTGGTCCTCCCGCCGGCCTCGGCAGCGCACGCATCCCCAGGGCCCTGGAAAGCCCCTGCTCCTCCCTGGAGCTCAGCCCTGCCTGTCTTCTCCCCAGCTCTCTGGACCTTCCTGTGGTTTGTTGGTTTCTGCTTCCTTACCAACCAGTGGGCAGCCACCAAGAAGGAGGACGTGCTGGTGGGCGCCGACTCCGCCCGGGCCGCCATCGCCTTCAGCTTCTTCTCCATATTCTCCTGGGTAGGTGGGCCTGCGGGTTTGTGGGGTCCCGAGGTCCCTTTCGCCCTGCACCCCTCTTCCCGCCCTAACTCAGGCTTTGGGGCTCCCTGCAGGGAATGCTGGCCTCCCTGGCCTACCAGCGCTACAAGGCCGGCGTGGAGGACTTCACCCAGAACTATGTGGACCCCACCCCGGACCCCAGCACAGCCTACGCCTCCTACCCGGGGGCGCCCGTGGACACCTACCAGCAGCCGCCCTTCACCCAGAGCGCCGAGACCACCGAGGGCTACCAGCCGCCCCCTGTGTACTGAGGAGCCGCGGGTGGGAGGGGGACAGGGAGCACTGGACTTTCCCCACATGGCCAGCCCCCGCCCTGTGCCTGCTGCAGCTGACACGCAGCCAGAGAGCCCCCAAGTGCTGTGCCCAGAGGGCTCCCCAGGCACCCACTCGCTCAAGGGCATTCGTTAGGAGAGGGTTTTTCCTAGATGGTTTCCTCATTGCTTTACCCCAGCCCTGCTTGGAGTAGCTAGAAGTGGGAAGGTGCCCCCGTGCTGTTTCGGCAAGTGCCTTAGCTTCTCCCTGGGCGCCCAGGAGCAGAGCCCAGGGGTTCTCTGCCAAAGACAGGGGTCGGCACGGCGCCTGTCTCCTGCTGCTGGTGCTGGGCTCCGGCCCCCGCCGCCGCCTCACTCAGGTTTGACTTCGTGCTCACTGTTGTTTGGTCTGGGGTCGCCACCCCGTGCCAGGGGCAGGGGGCAGAGCTGGTGCCCTTCTTGCTCCCAGCCCCTGGTGGCAGGGAGGGGCTTTGCCTGAGGACACCCAGCTTTATGTAAATATCCCGCCACTGCTCGCTAGCGTGGGGAGGGCCGCCCGAATGTATTATAAAGCCTTGGAGAAGACGCCCTGCCCTCCCCAGATGGATTCTGCTAGACGGTTGGAGATGGAATAAATGTTTTCTCCTTGTCATTGGCTGGGCCTTAGCCTGGGGATGGGAGGAAGAGACTGCTCTGGGAACAGCCCAGAGGGGTGCTGAGGGCCAGCTTTATGGAACTTGCATTTTGGACAAAGCAGTGGCAGCCCCTCCCCAGTCCGGGGTCTCATGCCTATAGGCCTTTCATCAGCATCTTAAAATAGCAGCTGTGCTCAGCTTGTAAACAAGATGATTTTTCTGGACCGCCTGGCCAGAGTCCTGTTCCCTCCCCAGAGTTGGGGGAGGGCACCTGGGAGTTGCCCCTCTCACAGTGGAGCGAGGGGTGCCAGGCTTCCTCTTTCCTCCAGGGGGGCCCTTCCTGGTCGTGGTGTTGAGAGGGCGTGGCTGCCCAGCCCACCCCTGAGCAGGCCAGCCGTCTCTAGCAGGAGAGCCGGGCCCCCTGGAGCAACTCTAGCTTCCCCTTTTGAGCAATGGCAGAGGGAGCTGTCAACAGCGGGCCCTCATAGTTTCAAAATCCTGAGTGGGGACGAATAGGACCCGACTCTGGGGAATTACAGGCCCCACTGCTGAAAGAGACCCCACAGCTGTGGCCTGGGCCAGGTCGCCAGCAAGTGGGGGTGTTGCCAAGGAGAGCGGTGGGGAGGCCATCTGGGAACTCGGGGGCAGGGGCCTAGAGTGGGTGCCCCCCCACGCCCCCTCAGATTCCTCCAATCGAGCTGCCAACAGCCCGTTTTCCGAGGCACAGCTGAGCTGCATCTTCTTGGCTCCTCAACTATCAAGTGTCTGTTTCACAAACAAAACCTGACCTCGCAGCCCCAGCTGGCAGCGGGACAGCAGCCTCCTCGCTCCAGCCAGGAAGGTAGGTGAGCGTTCCTCTTAGGACGCACTCCAAAGGGGTGGCGGTTAAATGACCACTGGTACTACAGAAAGATCTGGAAAATAATCCCCACCCAAATCACGTCAGAGCCGTTCAGAACGAGACCCGGGGAAGCCCAAGTTAAATGTGCTTTCAGCAACTAGTGGACTTTAATGTCACTTAATTCCATACACTGCAGCAGAAGCATGGGCCCTGCCCCCAGCACGGTCAGTGCCACCAGTGTGAAAGCTGTGCGGTTCTGGAGAAAGCCACCGGCAGAGTGTAGGAAGTGCTTTGAGCCCAAAGGGAGCAGAAGGGCACGAGTCCTGGCCATCCCCGAGCGGGGCGGGAGGGCTGAGGCTCAGAGTGCTCAGAATTCCCAGGGAGAACAGAAACTGAAGAGTGAAAGCCACAAAGGGGGAAGAAGCCAGCAGCGCTGATGTCACAATGGCATGTGGCTCTGCTCCAGGGCCAGAGGAGGAGGGGTGGGTCTGCAGCAGACAGACCCCGGCCAGCCGCAGGCCAGCTCCAGCCTGGGCACATCATCCCGGCGGCCGGGAAGGGAACCAACACAGGGCTGGTGGGCAGGCAGGGAGGGACATGTGACGTGCGGGGCAGCCTCAGAAAGTCCCCCAAGCAGGGTGGCCCTCCCTGACTTCCTCCCCAGCAGGCCACACAGCAGGCTGGGTGCAGGCGTCCGCTAGGCGGCAGCAGGAGTGGGAGCAGGTGGCCGTCTCAGTTGACAGGGCTGCGCTGCAGGATCTGCTGAGGGGCAAAGAGCTTCCTGGTGGCCGCCGAGGCCGCCTCCCCCGGCCTTCCCAGCACTGGGCAGTTCTCTTTGTTGTCCGGCCCAGCAGGCTGGCCCGAGGCCTTGAAGTAGCAGAGGCGACACACGGAGTGGTACTTGTCTGCCCCACCGATCACCTCAACCTGGCCACAGGGACAGAGAAAGGACGTGAAGGCCTGGACTCGGAAGGAGGCAGAGCGGTGCCCCTGCCCACCCTGGGAGGAGAAGGCAGGTCGAGCTACCTCTTTCTCCGTGCCCAGCCTCTTGGTGTAGGCGGCTTCCCGGAAGCACTCCATGCACACCGCGGTCAGCTTCACCACGCTCTCGGCCAGGGGTACCAGGTTCAGGATGGCCCCGAAAGCCTGCACTCCCGAGGGAAGACAGCCGGGGCACTCAGTCACCTCGCCCCGTGGGTTTCTCTTTTAAACCCTCTGATTCATAAGCACTGAAGCCAGGAAAGCTTGCCCTGACGTTGGTCCCCCAAAGAGCACCAAGCCCTGCTCTGCTCAAAGCACCTGCCACAGCAGATGGCATCTGGTCTGGACAGACTCACTCCTGAGCAGACTGGGGGGAGTCCCTGGGCTTGGGTAAGGCCTGGTCTGAGCTATGCCCCTTAGTGGGGAGCCCCGGTCACCTGCTGGGATGGTGTCTTTGTGCACTGCCCTACACCCGATGAGAAGCCCCTTCCCCCTCCAGTCCCAAGACCTGGATGAGACCCCTTACCTTCCTCTGGAAGGTCCCGTCCAGTGCGGCCACGATCACGATCTTCCCCGAGTTGGCCATGGTCTCACAGAAGTCCGCGATGTCGGGGAACTGGGGTGACAAGGTGGAGGAGAGCCTGAGCACCTACCTGAGCAGCTCTCCGGAGCCTCAGAGATGCTGCCGGACCCAACAACTCCAGCCGCTCGGATTAGCCTGGAGCGACTAACACTCCCATGTCTACTAGAAAAAAGATAAACTAGGAGAAAAATGAGTGGAAGCCCCAAACAGGCAATTTGCAGAGGAAGAAATAGTAGTGGATAAAATGTGGGAAAAGGTGTTGGCCTTGCTGGTCTCACCACTGCCCTCTGGCCCCTGCCGTCCGTCCATTCTCGGCCTCCGCCATCAGATTGGGCCACCCTTGACATCCTATGTCTCCCCCGGGGCCAAGCCCAAGTCTTTCCCAGGCTGACCCAGGCACCTGGCCACCTCTCCACCTCACTGGCTCCCACAGGCACATTCCTGCCTCGGCCCCACTTGCAGCCCCCAGATTCCTGCCGGCTCCATCCCCGTAAAGCTTCCCCCCACCTTAGTCTGTGGCCCTCACGCTGCCTGTTCCTCTAATACATAGCAGTTGTCACCACCTGACGTATTACGTACTTTCTCCCCTAGTTAGAGTGTGAGCGCCAGGGCGGGGGCTCTGGCTCTTGCCCCCAGGACCTAGAATAGTGCTGCCATCAGGTAAGAGCTTGAAAAACTGACGAGTGAGAGTGGCCCCCCGGCCTGGCCATTCCACTCAGCGGGTGCATCCGGCAGCAGCATAAGACGTCCGTGTGTCTAAACGCCACAGACAAGGAAGCTTAAACGAGGCATGGTGCATTTGTGGGGATGGGTATTTGTGGACGTGGAAAAATGGCCACAGCGTGTGATCTATTAAAATATGTGCGGTGGCTCACGCCTGTAATCTTAGCACTCTGGGAGGCTGAGGTGGGAGGATTGCTCAAGGTCAGGAGTTTGAAACCAGCCTGAGCAAGAGCGAGACCCTGTCTCTACTAAAAATAGAAAGAAATTAATTGGCCAACTAAAAATATATACAGAAAAAATTAGCCGGGCATGGTGGTGCATTCCTGCAGTCTCAGCTACTCGGGAGGCTGAGGCAGGAGGATCGCTTAAGCCCAGGAGTTTGAGGTTGCTGTGAGCTAAGTTGACACCACAGCACTCTAGCCCAGGCAACAGAGTGAGACTCTGTTTAAAAAAAAGAAAACAATACATGTATAAAGATTAGAAGGATCAAAGCCAACACGTTATGGGGTTTTTGTTTGTCTTCCGGGTTGGGGAGAAAGAGCAGAGCAGCCCCAGCAGCCGGCAGCTGGCCCCGCACTCAGGGTGGGCCCTGGCTTGGAGGGACGTCATCAACGTCACGGAGGCCCACCATCAGGCAAGGCCCTCCTGTGACCAGGAGTCAAGACGACGAGACCCCTCCATAATCATGTCTGAGCACAGACAAGAATATGGCATTGTCCCAGCCACAGAGCAGCAGACACCCCCTCTCCCGGCTGAGGAGCGTGCTGCTGCTGATCACAGCCTCGGTCTGGTTGCCACCTGCTCTCCCTGGGATAAGGCTTGAGGTACCGATTCACCTTCCCCAGGGCGCCCGCCCAAGAGCACAGCCAGCCAGGGACACCTCCACAGAATAGCCGTGGGAGCCAAATCCTAGGAGCCCCATCCAAGCCTCCCCACGGTGCCCCCAGGAAGAAACCCAAGTGAGGGGGTTTCCTGGTGGTCTCTAGAAGACTTTGTTGGTGGCAAATTATGGACTTTTTTTTCTTTACGTGTATGCCTAACTTCTATTACCGGTTGAACATCCCTCATCCTAAATGCTCCAAAATCTGAAATTTTCTGAGCACTACTGACATGACACAAGCGGAAAATGCCTCACCTGCCCTCATGCGACAGGTCAGTCAAAACTTTGGTTCATGCACAAAATTATTAGATGTTGTATAAAACTACCTTCAGACCATATGCATAAGGTGTACATAAAACAGAAATGAATTCTGTGTTCAGACTTGGGTCCCATCCCTAAGATATCTCATTATACACATGCAAATATTCCAAGACCCGAAAAAATCTGAAATCCTAAACATTGCAGGTCCCAAGCATTTCGGATAAGAGATATACTCAACCTGGTATTTCTTGTGGAGTAAAACAGAAATAAAACACAAAAACTGTTTTTTAGAAAATCATGGCTTCCACTATTGCCAAGCAACCCTGCCATGTAGCTGGTGAAAAGAACATGTATGTGGGGCAGACCCCGGGGGCAGGGCGCCCACGCATGCGCCGCCAGCACCTTAGGCAGAGCGCCCTCAGCCTGCGGCCACGGGATCTCCAGGTGAATCGCTTCTGACGCCAGCAGTTCCCACAAAGCAGCCGGGTGCTGCTGTGCCCTGCCCAGGGGCAGGGGTGAGCACGGCAGCTCCCACTCTCTGTGAAAGCCTTTCCTTCCTTGGGGACCCAAGTGCGGGCAAAGCTTGGCTCCGTTCACTGTCCACGCAGAGGGTGAAGCGGGGCAGGGGCGTTCCTTTTGCTGGGCCCCGAGTCCGGAGCTCGCCTCCTCCATCCAGAACTTCTTGCAACGGGAAGACTCTGACCTTGTGGAGAATAAGGCCCGCAGAGGCCAGGGCGGAACGGGAGAACGGTGATGTTTGCAGAGCGGGTATAATAAACACACGCCGAATGAGCTCAAGTTATATTTCTTTGCCAGGGAGGAGGTAGACAAATAAATCCCTCCTACAGGTTACAGTGGCGAACAGGACTTGGTTCCCTTGTTCCTGGGGCATTTGGACGTCAACCAACGAGGAGTAAGAAGCGAAACGTCCCTGCCTGGGGTGTCCGGGTCGGCCTCTGTGAATGAGGTTTATGCAAAGACAGGAGAGCAGAGCGGTGGGGCAAGTCGCAGCAGCAGGTCCGAAGGGGGTGACCCCACAGTCACAGCCTCCTTGCTGAGAAGGTCATGCCCCAAAAGGTGATGCAATACCCCCGGATCCACTGGGAGACCGCAGTTTGGAAGAGAAAGGGAAGAGCTGTAACCTCATTCCCAACCTGGGCTCACCGCTGGGAATGGTGTGTGCAGACGCAGGGGTGCCCAGGAGCACACCTCTGAGCATCTGAAATAGAACGGGCACACCCACGGCAGGGAGCAGGTGTCAGGTGCCGGCTGGCCTGGAGCCCATCTCCACGAGGGAGACGCCCCGCACGGTGCAGGGGACCCATCAGCCTCCCGTGGGAACGGAGTTTGGGGCTGTGATTCATCGAGCATGTTGGGCAAGAACAGGCCCAGAAAGGCAGGACTGGCCTTGGGCGACAGGACCTGTTCCGTCCCTGTAGGGTATGATAGTCGGAGCCGCCCGATTCTGTACTGCGAGGCAGGGCAGGCGGAGATTCCGAACCACTCAGCAAACAGATTTCTTCTTCCTCCAGGGTGTGGAGCTAGACTAAATGTACAGCTGGGGGGCTGTGTGCCCAAGTTCCAGTCTTTGGGTCAGCAGAGGTGACATGTACAATTCCCAGCCTAGCCCACACAGCCTCACACCCAGGGCGATCACCAATGCCATGTGCTGATGGTGGTGAGCCTCTCGGGCAGGCCTGCCCTGCCCACCAACCGACGTGGAACCACGTAGGAGCAGGTGAGCGAGAAATAAATCCCCATTGTGTTGTATACGTGTATCAAATCATCACACTGTATACCTGGAATATATTCACTCTTTATTTGACAAATATTTCTAAAACAATTTCTATCATGTTCAGCTACTGCAATCTGGGGTATATTTGTCATGGCAGCTCTGGTTGCTCTCCCCAGTGTACTAGGGACAACCCTAAAACTGCCTGAGGGGTTAAGTGAGCTAATCCCCTTCAAGAGTGGGTTTTAGTTTCATTCACCCACGATAAACTGGCGAAAACAAAAAACTCCAAAGCACAGGAGAGAAATTAAGACCACAAAAGACAACCAACAAACTCAACCAGAGTGTGCTCATACAGAACTGGGAAGAGTTAGCTGGAAAATACTGAAACAAGATTTTTGGAAAACTAATGGAAGGAACAGCATAAGTACACACACACACAAAAAAAGAAATTGTCAAACAAAAATAAATATTCTGAATTAGAGTAGAAGATGTAAAAATAGAGTTATTGAACACACTTTGGAAACTAGTACGCGGAGAGGGGTGAGGAGGAGAGACATTTGAAGTGATAATGGCTTAACTTCCTTCCTAGAATGAAAAGACCCACCAAATACAAAGTAGGATAAATAAAAGCAAACTCTCGGGCCGGGCGCGGTGGCTCACGCCTGTAATCCTAGCTCTCTGGGAGGCCAAGGCGGGCAGATTGCTCAAGGTCAGGAGTTCAAAACCAGCCTGAGCAAGAGTGAGACCCCATCTCTACTAAAAATAGAAAGAAATCAATTGGCCAACTAATATATATAGAAAAATTTAGCCGGGCATGGTGGTGCATGCCTGTAGTCCCAGCTACTCGGGAGGCTGAGGCAGGAGGATGGCTTGAGCCCAGGAGTTTGAGGTTGCTGTGAGCTAGGCTGACGCCACGGCACTCACTCTAGCCTGGGCAACAGTGTGAGACTCTGTCTCAAAAAAAAAAAAAAAAAAAAATAGCAAACTCTCCCCTGGACACATTGTTCTGAGACTAGACCGATTACCTGCCCAGGGAGTAACCATTAGACTGATAACAGCCTTCCCCTTTCTTTTCAAACCTAACATCTGCTACCAGCTTAAACTGGAAAACACAATGAAGACATTTTCGTGCAAAGATTGGCAGAGCTTCCAAATAAACCCATATGGAACAAGCAAAAGCAACAATGAACCCAACAGAACACCCCCCTAGGTACCAGTGTTGAGAAATGTTTTTCCACTGCAAATATTTTTTTTTCTAAAAAAGGTAAAAATATGTTCGGTATGACAATAACATGGGAAGCAGCAAGGGGAATTCAAAGAGTGCTCACACACTGGTTGAGGCAACTTAACCTTGTTACTTTCACTGAAAGGTCTAAAACAGAACGGGTAACTTCCAAACCAGCAGGGACAGGGAGGGAGCTCATAGGAAGAACAAGGCCAGGCCAGGCCAACTTACAAACTGCCCTTCATCGATGCCTATGACAGCCACGCCCAGGGCCTCCTGGGCCACGTCCCGGAGCAGGCAGGCCGGCAGCGCCTCCATGGTGTTCCTGGAGGAAGAAGCCAGAGCGTGAGCAAGGCAGACCGGGAGACCAGACACCAGCATGGGGGGCCGGGAACGGCTATTGGCTTGCAGGGCGTAGAGAAGCCAGCGGCTATGGAAAGGCAGCAGGGAGAACAAAGGCCCTTGTTCGGAAAACCAGTTATTTAATACAAGCTATCGCACTTGACGCTTCAGACTAGAAATTAGCAATGTCCAATATAAAGCTCAAAAGAGGGCCGGGCGCGGTGGCTCACGCCTGTAATCCTAGTGCTCTGGGCGGCCGAGGCCAGCGGATTGCTCGAGGTCAGGAGTTCAAAACCAGCCTGAGCAAGAGTGAGACCCCGTCTCTACTATAAATAGAAACAATTTAATTGGCCAACTAATATATATAGAAAAAATGAGCCGGGCATGGTGGCGCATGCCTGTAGTCCCAGCTACTCGGGAGGCTGAGGCAGGAGGATCGCTTGAGCCCAGGAGTTTGAGGTTGCTGTGAGCTAGGCTGACGCCACGGTACTCACTCTAGCCTGGGCAACAAAGCGAGACTCTGTCTAAAAATAAACAAAATAAAGCTCAAAAGAGACTCAAAAACTCTGCTATGCTTCTGTCTAGACAAGTCCGACATGGGGGCAGAAAAGGCCGACTTCCTCCTCAGGCACGGGCCCAGGGCCCGTGATACCGTTAAGAGCCAGCAGAGTGCTTCCATTTCTTCTGAAATTCAGAAGAATAAGTAAATATAACTTGATCTGCATTATATTTGTCCTTACATCAATGCTGTCATAAAATATAATTTAAAAAAAAATTTTTTTTAATGGAGAAAGGGGTCTATGCAGGCAAAAGTGTCCAGAATCAAAGATAGCCCCACCCAACCCAGCTACTCAGGAGGCTGATGCAGGAGGATATAGCTTGAGCCCAGGGGTTTGAGGTTGCAGTGAGCCACGATGACACCACTGCACTCTAATGACAGAGACTCAGAGGGGGCTGGCCCTGCACAGCCCATGAACACCAGACTCCAGACAAACCCTGAGGGCCCTGCCCCAGGAGAGATAAGCCTAGAGCCCCAACCAGCAGAACAACGTTCTAGAAGAATTCCTGTTTGGCTACCCCAGCAGATTCCGACAAAGCCACTATGCAATTAGTGTGATTTCAGGACTTGAGTTTGCTCGGCTGTCATGCGGGCCCCCTGGCCTACAAGGAGAATCCTACCCAGTAGAGTTTGAAGGTGAGAGGTGGGTGGTGTGTAAGAATGTTCCAGTGCCATTAAATGACACTTTGAACCCCACCCTATCATCACAGCCAAGACCTTTTTTTTTTTCTTTCTTTTTTTTTTAAGACTGGAGGGTCTCACTACATTGCCCAGATTGGTCTCAAGCAATGCTCCTGCCTCAGCCTCCCAAGTAGCTGGGCATGACGCCCAGGGCCTTTTCTAAAGAAGAATGCTGTGCTGTGTCCTCTGCCTTTCTAAATAGCTTCTGTGTTTTCCTACAATGTTGTTTTCTTTTGTTCCCATTTTTGCGGGCTCCTCTGAACCAGCCTTCAGAGGAACAGTTAGTTTCCTGAAAGCTCAGCAGTTTGTGGCTGTATTTACAAAAAATAAAATACTTTACAACTACTGCTTAGTTATTATCTTGCTATAATCCTACTTCAAGATCTGGGAAGAGAATGAAACAATATTTCATGTGTTTTAAGTCCCCTCTTCCTTTGCCAGATGGAGAAGACCAGTGACACATGGGCAGAACTCGGATTTAAGCCTAAGTCTGAGGTTGCAGTGAGCTATGATGACGCCTCTGCACTCTAGCCAGGCTAACAGAGCTGAGACTCTGTCTCAAAAAAAAAAAAAAAACCGGTATGCACGCCAAACAAAACCACTCTGCAGCCTCTGAACAGGGGTGAACTCTAGAGCAGAGTTTCTCACCCCCGGCAGGCACTGCTGACATCTGGGGCCGGATCATTCTTTGTCCTGTGCGCTGCAGGATGGTTAGTTAGCGGCATCACTCCTGAGCTCTACCAATTAAAGGCCAGTAGCCTCCCCTCCCCCTCCAGTTGTGACAACTAGAAATGTCTCCAGATACCGTCAGATGGACTGTGGGTGGCAAAATTGCCCCTGGTTGAGAACCACCAGGCTAGAGCCCCGTGAACGGCGGGGCCCTCAGCTGCCTTGCCGGGCATGCTGGAAAGTTTGCTGATTTGAACTGTTCAATGCCAGGCCTCAGCACTATTTGCCACCCCCACTAAAGAGAGCTGTGACTGCATGCCCTGTGCCTGGAGAGGACCAAAGGGGCAGGGACTGACCGGTCATGTGTGCAGAAGCTGCTGCTGTAGCGAGTGTCTTTGGCATATTTGATGACCAGGCACTTGTACTGGGCAATCTGGAAGCGACGGACCCGTCTCATCAGCTCCGAGCTGCAAGGGCAGAGGGTCTGGTGAGGCCCACCCACGACAGGATCCAGGGCCAGGAAGACCCCAAGGGCACAAGCTGGGCTCCTCCATGCCCCCTAGTGCTGCACAGCCTGAGGACCCCACCTCCACCCCCCAAGCGCACAGAGGCAGCCGGGCACAGTGTACTGGGCGTAATACTACCGGGAATGGGGTTGGAAGTCAGAGTCCTCTACGGGGAGGGTGGCCAGGAATGGCCCTCAGGTGGTCCCAGGAAGGGCGGGAGGAGGGAGTGTTTCAGGCATATGGTGGGGAAGGTGGCCAGAGACAAAGGCCACTTGCAGGGAGGGTGCCTGCAGACCGCATTCCAAAGTAATCTCATCACAGAACTCTGTCCAAAGCGCTCAGGGCTTTTCTGAATTAACCTCACAAGGCTTCTGTGGGCAGCACGCGAAGCCCTGGTTTCTGGGTCCGAGAAGTCCAACCCCGAGCCTCACCTCCTGAGCAAAGGGTTTGGGGTGCGGGGCTTACTCGGGGGCGGGGGCTCACCAGCCCCGCCTCGGTCAGGGGGTGGTTCTCGGCCACGTAAGGAGACTGTCACACTGAGAGGAGGTGCACAGACACGCCCGGCCGGGGGACGTGCGCGGCCCCCTTCCGAGAGGGCCGATGCGGGGGTGGGGGGCCACCGGCTGGGGCGGTACCGCGTGTCTACCACCGGTTCGACCTGGGCGCGCCTTCCTCCGGGGCCGGATCCCGGGGGCCGGGGCCGGGCAGCGCTGAGGGAGATCTCCTCCGAGGGGGCGGCAGGCTGGGGAGGGCTGGGGTCCCCGGGGAGCGGGCGGCCCAGTCCCGCCGCCAGAAGCCGTTACCTTTTTCCTGAGAACATGGGCCCGAGAATCACCTAGGAGAGAAGAGGTCACTTCGGGGCCCGCTCCGCACAGACACCGGCACAGGCCCCCGCCCGGCCTGCACCCCCGGCCCCCCAGGCCCGGCCCCGCCCGGCGCGCGCACCTGGATCTGCCCCCGCGTCTTGCCGGGGGAGCCGGGCAGCACGGCGGGCAGGCTGATGCAGCTCATGGCGCCTCCGCGCAGCACGCCAGGCCCGAGACCCCGCCGCCCGCACCGCAAGGGACCGCGCTTTCCCGCGCCGCCCGCCTTTAAGCACCGAACGCCGGCCAATCGGGAGCCGCCGCCCGGGGCCAGTCAGCGCGCGCGGCGGGAGATTGGCCGGGTCCGCCCGAGAGGGCGTGCGAGCGCGCGCGGGCCAGCCGGGCTCCGGAAATGGGCGTGTCCGGGGCGTGGCCTGCCGGAGCCCCGCCCCGCCCACCGAGGATAAAGTAGCTGGGCGCACGCCGCCGGCTGGAGCGCGCGATGGACGTGCGCGGGGACGCTCTTGGGGCTCCCTGGAAGAGCATGTCTGCAGAGGTAGGGGCTGCAGGAGGGACGGGGGGCTGCAGGGAGGACGGGGGGCTGCAGGAGGGACGGGGGGCTGCAGGGAGGGCCGGGGGGGCTGCAGGAGGGCCGGGGGGCTGCAGGAGGGCCGGGGGGCTGCAGGAGGGCCGGGGGGCTGCAGGAGGGACGGGGGGGGGGCTGCAGGGAGGGACGGGGGGCTGCAGGGAGGGACGGAGGGCTGCAGGGAGGGACGGGGGGCTGCAGGGAGGGACGGGGGGCCGGGCCGCGAGCTCAGCTCACTGGTGACGTGGGAGCTGATAACTGTAATCAGCTCATCGATTACATTGGAATTCCAAGAAGGAAACTCAGCGGCCTTCTAGGTCATTCCTCGGGGCACGTTGAGCGTCTACTGTGTGCCAGGTCGCGAATGCTTGAGTACCATGGTCTGATTTCTGTTAGTCTGGTTTTGAGGATAGAGAACATGGAGGTCCTGGTTAATATCCACAGGCCCGCAGTCTGGTCAGGGGCCAAGGTTTCCGACGTTGAGCTGAGCTTATGTAGTGTGCTTGGGTCTGGCTTGGAAATGACGCTGAACGCATGGTATGGTATCTGGCACTTGTTATTGATTATCATTCGATTATAATTTCCTACGTAGTGTACCTGCATTTCAGGCAGTGGTTCTTTTTCCAGTCGTGGACACAGCTGAAAATCTGGCGAAAGTTATAGATACTGCCCCAGGAAATCACATTCTGTCTGTCTGTCTCTCCCTCCCTCCCTCTCTCTCCCAGGAAATCAAATTCTCTCTCTCTCTCTCACACACACACACACACACACACACACACACATGCTTGCCTACGCTATTAGGGGACTCTCAGAAACCCACTGCATCATCATTATCATAAATAGTAGGAATAAAGATGACGGCGGCAGTCATGGAGTAGGTCAGGTATGGCTGCAAGCACCCTACAGATAACAACCTTCACAGGTATAGATTGTACAGATCCAAGGACCTCTGGCCAAGAGCCCCGTTCAACTGGCAGAGGAGGCAACCCACAGTTGGGTGTTCACTTCCCTCCACTGACCTGCCTCATCTCTGTAACCCTGTGAGGAGGCCAGGATGCCCACTCTACCAATGAGGGACAGAATCCTAGGGACTAACTTGCCCAGGGTAAAACAGCCAGGAAGTGATGGCGTTTGGCCTCAGGCTTTTCCACGAGGCCCTCTTGTCTTCAGATTTCCCGTGATGTTTGTTGGCTTTCTCCAAAACCCGGTTCCTTGTTCCTTTCTGCATTAAGTCTGAACATATCAGCCTGACGTCGACGGCCCTCCCTTCTCCAGCCCCAGCTTCCCAGTCTTACCAGTCTGCTTCAGCTTTCTGGCCTGTCAGCATTTGCAAACTGACGTTTATTTTTTTAAGACTAGTCAAGTGCAGTGCAAACTGACTTTTGATTCCTTCCTCCTCACTTTTGTGCCTTTGACTGTGCTGGGTCCTCCTGCAGTCAGAATTGCACCCTCTCCAGGAAGATGACCTCCTTCTTTGCAGTGGCCACCCCAGCCGCCTGGCCTGCTGTGGCCCTAGCTGCTGTAGGAGTGGTGCCCACGACGGCATTCAGTGGATGCATTTATGGAACCTTGTCTCCCCTTAAGGCTGGTCAAAGGCACGGCTGCTGTTGCTGGGGCACCTCTAGACCGTGGATCTGAGGCAGCGAGTGGGGCACCTTGTGGGACGAGGGTGGGGAGCGCATTGCCAGGCTGGAGGTTGGAGGGGATCTAAGGAAGCTGAGGGCATGTTCGAGCGCATGGGATACTGGGGAGGGGGCTTCTCCAGGCAGAGAGGAGGATGCAGGCATGCACAGGGGTGGGGCACACTCTGTGTTGAGAACGAGAGTCTTACAGAGCCTGTGTCTGTGTCCTGCAGGAGTTGGAGAATCAATACTCCCCCAGCAGATGGGTCGTCCGACTGGGAGCAGAGGAAGCCTTGAGGACTTACACACAGATAGGAATCGAGGGTACTGGTGTGACCTCTCCTTGGCCGAGTCGGGTGGCATGGGTGCATGTGGCAGTGGTTCAGAATGCTGGGGGGAGGGAGGAGGTGCTGCACCACCTGAGCCTTGAGGGCCATTTCCCGGCCACCAGGTGGTTTGTAAGCTTTCCTTACTCATGGGTGGCTAGCCCAGGGCCTCTTGGGGCAGGGACCAATGGAGGCAAGGGAGGCCTGGGTGGAGTCCAGGGCTGGGTTGACCATGCTTGACCTTCCCTCTTGCTCAGCCAATGATGCCCAGGCCCACGAGGCCACATGCCGTGGTTTCATAGGAAGGTAAAGTGGAGAAAGGAAGATTCCCCCTCCGCTGCTGAATGTGGAATGCTGTTGCCATTTATAAAAAGAAATGAAGGCTTTTTTTTCTTTTCTTTAATAAAATCAGGGCTTGATTAGTAAAGTCTTAAGGAAAATTTTCTTCTCTGTCCTGTGTCTGCTGAGTGTTGCACCACGATTTGAACACTTGGGGAAGTATTTGTGCTGGGTTGGGCAGCAGGCACCAAGGAAGAAGTGTGGTTTTGGACACAGCCAGCCTGTGTTTGCTCAGTGGGGAACACTGGATGTTGGCAGACTTGCAAGTCTGCCGTGCTTCAGCAGGCTGAACCAGCCTTTCAGAAGCAGCTGCTGCCTGGGCTCCTGGGATTAGTGGTTTTCTAAACAGAGATAACCCAGGAGGAACAGACTTGTTGGGGATTTCTTCCAGCACATTCCACCATCCCCCTTGTCCTGATAGATAAGGGATAGAGCTGTTTCCTAGGGTCCCTTGCTGTGCCCAACTCTATGCCAAATACATCTCTATTTGCCCGATAGAGATGCAAGCTCATGTGGCGAAACATACACGATTTTGAAGGGAACCTTAATTGCTTTGAGGGATAAAAGAGCTGACCCCATTGAGAAAGGGGGTGGGGTGTAAAAAGCAGGAGCTAAGAGTGTGCTGCCCTGTGTGCTCAGAAACTCTCTTTAGCAATCTTGGTAAGCTGGGGAGTGCTGTAATGTAACCAGCTTTCGCCTGCCTTCCTTTGACTGCGGCCCTGGTAGACAGGGGGGTGCTGCAGGGACAACTGGCCCATTTCACAGATGAACATCGCAAGCCCGACAGGGTGGGGGTTTGGGTGCAAGTGCCAGGTTGGAGCTTGTCTCTGTTTAAAATTTTTATATTTGGCTCATCATGGATTTTTTGGCATTGATTTTGCTCCTACCCTCCCACGGAATCTGAAGTTATCTTCTTTGAGAAGTGTATTTCAGAGTGGCCCCCAGGTCTTTGAGAAACACATTCCTAGACTGCAGAACTGGCCAGAGACTTACTTGGCTTTTAAAAATATTTACATCCATCTCAAAGAAGCAGAGAAAAAGATGTACAACAGGCCGGGCGCGGTGGCTCACGCCTGTAATCCTAGCTCTCTGGGAGGCCGAGGCGGGTGGATCGTTTGAGCTCAGGAGTTCGAAACCAGCCTGAGCAAGAGTGAGACCCTGTCTCTACTATAAATAGAAAGGAATTAATTGCCAACTAATATATATAGAAAAATTAGCCGGCATGGTGGCGCATGCCTGTAGTCCCAGCTACTCGGGAGCTCGCAGGCAGCAGGATTGCTGAGCCAGGAGTCTTGAGGATTGCTGTGAGCCAGGTTGATGCCACGGTACTCACTCTAGCCTGGGCAACAAAGCGAGACTCTGTCTCAAAAAAAAAAAGATGTACAACAATAACTTTCCTAAAATAAGTGCTTTTCCTTTTTTGTACCAGGGAGAAGCAAATTTTTTTTCTTATTTTTGATTTGTGTTCGTCCTTAAAACATTGATGTGTTAGCTTGCAGTGGGGGATGTTCTCTTCACCAACTACCTTGATCCCCTACCAAGGCCTGGCCTCCCTTGGCAGGGGTGTGGGGGACAGAGTCTAACTGCTGTTAAAGAGTAGACAGCAGGAGGAAGCTGGCAAAGGTTGGTGTTAACTATTTCCTCCACCTATAGCTTTTTTTTTTTTGAGACAGAGTCTCACTCTGTTGCCCAGGCTAGAGTGAGTGCCTTGGCGTCAGCCTAGCTCACAGCAACCTCAAACTCCTGAGCTTAAGCGATTCTCTGCCTCAGCCTCCTGAGTAGCTGGGACACGGCATGCGCCACCATGCCTGGCTAATTTTTTCTCTTCTATTTTTTAGTTGTCAATTAATTCTTTTTTCTTTTTTTTTTTTTTTTTTTTAGTAGAGACAGGGTCTCGCTCAGGCTGGTTTTGAACTCTTGACCTCGAGCAATCCACCCACCTTGGCCTCCCAGAGTACCAATAGCTTTTAAATTTGTTTCACCATGACCTTCAGTAAACATACACTTTACAATAAACGAAATGCAGTATACATATTTTTTCGAGATGCAAAAGGACAAACACTGTATGATTCCATTTAAATGAGGCTCCTGGAAGAGTCAGGTTTGTAAGAAGAGGCAGTAGGATGGTTGCCAGGGGCTGCAGGCTGGGAGGAATGGGGCTTTATTGTTGAATGGGGACAGTTTCAGTCTTAGAAGATGAAAAGGGTTCTGGAGTTGGTCACAATAATGTGAAAGTGCCTAATGCCACCGTACACTTAAAAATGGTTGAGATGGTGAATTTTATGTATATTTTACCGCAACTTAAAAAGTAGTGTACATCCTATTTTAATACACATGCATGCGTTAAAAAGTTTGCACAAAACACTTCTTGATGGGGGACTGGCTATTTTCTACCGCGTTCTCAGCCTGTTTGGTGCTCATCACGTTGCTTGGCGAGCTCCGGTTCCGACACCTGCAGGTCTGGGCCGGGGGGACGCTGGTGTCGCGCCGGGGCCCCTGACCCGCAGTGGGAAGTGGGGACATTCTCGGGAGCCCTAGATAAGCTGACCCTCTGTCCCCCAGCTGCAGGGTGCGCGGGCTCAGAGGTCCCTGCAGGTCACCGAGGTCCGGGCGTGGGCGGCTCCGAAGGCCGGCGCTCAGGCCCCGCCCCTCCCTGGGACAGCCAATCGCTGGGGCGGTGGGTGTGGCCTCGTGATTGACAGGCTCGGTCTCCGCGGACCTTTCCCGCCTTGGTGCGCGGTGCCTCCGGGCGTTTTGTTCTCTTTTAGAAAAAAAAACAAAAGGAAGGAAACGAAGGCGTAGGAAATACAAACCCCCATTTTTTTTTTTTTTTACCGTGGTAAAATACTCATAACTTAATTTACCATTTTAACCATTTTAAAGTTCAGGAGCATTGACAGCGCTGTGCAGCCGTTGCAACCACTAGCAAGTTCCAAGGCATTCTCATCACTGCGAGAGACACCCCCACGCGCATGCGCCGGCGCCCCCCCCCCATCCCTTCGACTTCCATCCCGAGGGTCCGCCTGTCCATCCTCATGCCATCGTGGCCTTGTGTCTGGCGTCTCTGGCTCTGGGTTTCGGAGGCTCCTTCCTGTGGCAGGTGTCAGTGCTTCACTCCTTCCTATGACCAAGCCGTGGTCCACACTTTGTTCACCCCATGGACACTGGGTCGTTCCCCCTTTTAGCTTTTGGGGGCCAGGCCTCTGTCTTCTGGGACCCCTGCCCCTGTTCCTGCAGCCCTTGGCTCCCAGCCTCTGCTGCGCTCCTCCCCTCCTCCTGCGACAGAGGGCTTTTCTCACTTTGGTTCTCAGGGATTTGGCCAAGAACTCACTGTGACTTGAGCCCCAGACCTTCCCCTCCGCCCTGACCTGGCGCCCAGCCTGTCCAGCGTGGCCCCGGGCCTGGCAGCCGCTCTGGCCAGAGGCACTCGCTTCTCAAGGGCGGCTCTGGTCTCTGCCCAGCGTCTCCTTCCCTGCCTTCCGTGTCCCCACCTGATCCTATCTCTCAGGGCCTGTCACCCTCACTAAGCAGCCAGCCGCACACAGTAAGGGTTTGTTTTTTTTTTTGAGACAGAGTCTCACTTTGATGCCCAGGCTTGAGTGAAGCTACCATGCAGTTCAGCCTAGCTCACAACAACTCAACTCTAGGCTTGCCAAAGGCATCCCTCGCTGCCTCAGCGCACCGCCGAGTACCTGGCGGCTGACAGACATCGTGCGCACCATGCCTGGCTCATTCTTTTGCGAGTAGCTAGTCAGTAGGTCTGGCGCGCAATAATCTTTCTATTTAGAAGTGAGAGACGGGGTCTCGCGCTTGCTCAGGCTGGTTTTGAATCCTGAACATCAAGCAATCTGCCCGCCCCTGGCCTCCGCAGAGTTGCTAGGATTAGGCTGAGCCACCTCCGCCCCACCGCCGTAAGCGGTCTTTTGAACTAATTTGGGGTACACCGCCTTGTATCAGAGATCTCGAGCAGTGCACGCCTCTGCGTCGCTTAATCGTAAATAATTGTTTGCCTAATGAATTGGTAGCGAGTTACCTCTCAAGTACCAGAATAAAACACCGCGCTTGGGCTTCGGCCCTTCATGTCGCTTACTCTCGAGCCTGCGCTCCCTGTCCCACACTTGGGTTAGTCTCAGGGGTTCCGGCCTCCACTTCCCCTAACTGCTCTAACACACACACGCTCCCACGTCAGCTCCATGGACGCACGCTTCCGCCAGGGCCTGAACATTTTACTCTGTAGCAGCTATTCACGCAGGCCCTTTGGGCGTTGTGAAACCCAATCCTGAATTTATTGCTTTAATGCAGAAAACGGAAGTTTGCAATAACGGTTTATTCCTGGGGGTTCTCCGTTCGAGCCCCTCTCTGTTCCTGCCCTTGAGTTCAGGGCCTAGGGGGCTGGCAGGATTCCACCACTCTGCGAGGGGGAGGCCACCAGGTCACTATCATTTCTTTTGCTTCTTTTCTTTTTGCTTTTCTTTTTTTTCAGCAGAGTTCACTTTGTTGCCAGCGCTATGAGTGAGTGCTGTTGGCATCCAGCCCTAGCCTCACAAGCAACCTCAATCTTCCCCCAAGCGCAGTCCTCTTGCCTCGGCCTGCCGGCCCGACGTATGCGACATAGGCTATGCGCCACCATGCCCCAAGATTTTTCTCCTATCATATATTCTGGCCAATTATTTTCCTTCTATTTTTAGTAGCCAGATTCTTGCGTCAGCGCTGTTTTGAACTCCCTGGACTTGAGCGTCCCCCGCCCGGCCCAGGACGTGCTAGGATTACAGGCTGCAGCCACGCGCCGGCCAGGTTCCACTTCATTTCTGGTTCTCCTGCACCCCACCTGCTCGCCACGCTGGCCGCTGAGGTACCTCCTAGAGAGAGGCAATCTACCTTTCTCAGGGTCAGTAGAGGCTTTTAATATCTGGGGGAGATTTATACGTGCTAATGAACTCCTACAGCTGCCTGGTTTAATTGCTACTCAATTTAGAACATAAATTTCATGATCTTTTTCTTAGTTTTAGCACATTAACCTAGTCTATTCATACGCTTTGAGAACTCTTGTGTTAATTAAATCACTACCTTTGAGTCACCCCACTCCTGCGAGACTGTGTGGCTCAGTCACCTTCACGGTGTGCCAGGGCAGGGTTGTTGGCAAACCCTCAGGCAGGGCAGTTGGCAATGGCCTCCGAATGACAAATGCAACTCCTTTTGACCCAGAATTCCGCTGCTGAGAACACTTCCTCCAGACACTCACGCACGGTGCAGTGATGGATGTACAAGGCTATTCACGGCAGGGTTGCTTGTGATTTTGTGGCCTTGGAGACAGCCCAGACGCCTTGAGCAAAAGATGGGTTCCGAGTCTGCAAGGCAGGGAACAGCCGTCACCAGACACCAGCCCTCCAGTCTCCAGAACTGTGAGAAAATAGATTTCTGGTTGGTGGAGCCACCCAGGCTGTGGTATTTTGTTATGGCAGGCTGAGCTGGCTCAGACAGGGCCCGGAAGGGTTGGAGCACGTTGTAACTGGCTGGCGCTGTGGCTGTAGGGAGTCCAGGTAGAGGCAGGTGGTGGCTCCCTTCCAGGGGGCAGGTGAAGGGGGGTCCTGCCAGCGTGGGGAGGAGACTCCGCATTCAGGATAAAAGCCAACAGGACTTCCCGAGGATCAGATGTGGCTTGAGAAAGAGCGGGGTCTCCAGTGGCCCCAGGGTGTTCGTCCAGAGCAACCAGAGTGGCTGGATGAATAAATGGACAGGCAACCACTGAACAGGGTATGGGGTAACTGGGAAAGAGGAAATAAAGAGAAGCTGTCTGTGTGTCCTCACACCACTGCGCAGGACACCTTGAGCAGAATCAAGCCATTTCCAAATGGGTACGTTTTAATTGATTAGAGCCACAGATCCTGTTAAGCGAATCCAGTATGTGATTCTAGTTTCTTTTCCATTATCATTATCTATGTATTTACTGTAGAGAGGATCTTGCTGTGTGGCCAGGCTGGTCTCCAGCTACTGGCCTCAGGCAGTTCCCCTACCCAGGCCTCCCTAGCCCTGAGCCACCACCACACCGAGCTGTGATTATACTTTGAAGTGTTTATTAAGCATTTAATCCTATTTTGTAACTATGTTTAAATGTTTAGGGGAATTTCACCTTTGAAAAGTTATGAGCTGGCCCTGCTTGGTGGCTCACACCTGTAATCCTAGCACTCTGGGAGGCCAAGGTGGGAGGATCGCTCGAGGTCAGGAGTTGGAGACCAGCCTGAGCAAGATCGAGACCCCGTCTCTACTATAAATAGAAAGAAATTAAATGACCAACCAAAAATATATAGAAAAAATTAGCTGGGCATGGTGGCTATATAGAAAAAATTAGCCGGGCATGGTGGCGCATGCCTGTAGTCCCAGCTACTCGGGAGGCTGAGGCAGGAGGATCCTGGGCTTGAGCCCAGGAGTTTGAGGTTGCGGTGAGCTAGGCTGACGCCACAGCACTCACTCTAGCCTGGGCAACAGAGTGAGACTCTGTGTCCCCCCACCAAATGATGAATGCCGGGATGGAAAGCACAGAGGGAGGGGTGCACCCTACCGTATTGACTAATCAGGTCTCGTGTGCTGTGTCCAGTGCTGTTGCTCTCCTACACAGCATTGCTGCGAGCATCCTTAAAACAAACCCTTGGGAATATTCTGATTATTCCCTTGTAATAAATGCAGATAAGGACTTGGGGGTTTGTTGCATGTTTCCAAATTGCCCTCCTGAAGAGCTTACACTTTACACTCTCTCCAACTCAGCGTCTGAGCAGCTCATCTGCCTGGCTTTGGTGATGTCGGGGGACATCTGGAGGCACTTCCGTACTAAAACGTGAGCAGAGCCGCTCCCGCCTCCATGCCTGTTTCCCTCGCGGCGCCCTTCGTCCTTCCTCCCCACCCAGGCCGTGGCCAATGTCCACATTGCTCTGAGCTGTTCCCCTGTGGCACTCAGTATATATTCATATTGCTCCATCCTCTGCTGGTTTCAAGTGAGTTTCCATCTTGTTTGCCTAGAAGATTATTTTTCCAAATATTTGGGAACGTTCGTGCTCCCTAGAGGGCACAGCCCAGCGTGCGTGGTGCAGAGGATAAGCATGTCGTAACGTGGCACCGACCTCCCAGAACCTGGTTCCCTCGGAGACAGACGCCAGGCCTGGGGAGTCCTCTTTCCTGGGAGGTGCTCACAGCTGAAGCTCACTGGTCAACCCAGGGGCGCTTTCAGCCAAAAGGGTTCTACCGCAGCAGAATCAGAAATTGCTGCCACTGTAGTGCTGACAGTGACCTGTCTGTTTCCGAGACAGCCACCAGGAGGGCCCGGGCCACCAGGAGGAGCCTGCTGCACATCCCCTATGGAGACTCCACAGGGGAGACACTGGACATCTACCTTCCGCACAAGGCACCTGAAGGTCGGCGCGGGGGCTTTGGGTTCTGCCGCAGGGCTCTGGGGCCAGCCCCGCCCACACGGCCCCTTGCTTTTACAGCCTTTCCCGTCTTCATGTTTGTGCACGGCGGATACTGGCAGTGCGGAAGGTGAGCGGGGCATTCGGACTGTGGAGCAAAAGGTTGGTCTCCTGCAGCTGCTGCAGCAAACTGCCACACTCTGGTGGCTTCAGCAAGAGCATGTCCTCCTGCACCCTGGAGGCCAGACACCAGGGGTGGGCAGAGCCATGCTCCCTCTGAAGCTCTCAGCAGGGTCCCTCCCGCCTCCCTGAGCCTCCACCAGCCCAGGAGCTCGCTGCGTCCCTGCAGTCTGCTCCGTCCACCGCCGCGCTCTGAGTTTCTGTGCCCGAAATCCCGCTTCTTTTTTCTTACAAGGGCACCAGTCATTGGATTCAGCGCTCACCCTAATAATCCAGGATGATCTCACCTCAAGATTCTTTTTTTTTTTTTTTTTTGAGACAGAGTCTCGCTTTGTTGCCCAGGCTAGAGTGAGTGCCGTGGCATCAGCCTAGCTCACAGCAACCTCCAACTCCTGTGCTCAAGCGATCCTTGTGCCTCAGCCTCCCGAGTAGCTGGGACTACAGGCATGCACCACCATGCCTGGCTGATTTTTTGTATATATATTTTTAGTTGGTCAATTAATTTCTTTCTATTTTTAGTAGAGACAGAATCTCGCTCAGGGTGGTTTCGAACTCCGGACCTCTAGCAATCCGCCCGCCTCGGCCTCCCAGAGTGCTAGGATTACAGGCGTGAGCCATCGCACCCGGCCTTACCTCAAGATTCTTAATGCTGTCTGCAAAGACTTTATTTCTAAATACAGTCACATTCATAGGTTCTGGGGTTGGGACTTGGACATGTCTTTTGGGGGGACACAGTTCAACCCAGTCCCCACAGTGAGAAGCACGTCCAGGCCACTCTGCAGTCAAGGTAAAAGCCCGTGTGACCGAGCAGAGTTCTCGCAGGATGTAGGCTCGCAGTAAGAGAGGCGACGCTCTGCGTGGACCGAACGTCAGGCACGGGGCGTGTCCCGGACACGGGGAAGCAGCACGGCGGCCAAGCTGCCTCCAGTCGTCCCACGTCTGTCTCTTTCTGCAGTAAAGACGAGTCTGCCTTCATGGTGGAGCCCCTGACAGCACAAGGAGTGGCCGTGGTGACAGTGGCTTATGACATTGCCCCCAGAGGTAAGAGGGGCGGTGGCTGCAGGTCCAAGGGCTGGTGGGCTTTGATGGGGAGGGAGGGAGCCCCCAACCTGGCTCGAGCTCTCTGTGCAGGCAGCCTGGACCAGATGGTAGACCAGGTGACGCGGAGCATCGCGTTTGTGCAGAAGCGGTACCCGCGCAATGAGTGGGTGTCGCTGCTTGTTTCCCGCTTGCTGGACCTGCCGGGTGGGGGGACCGGGCCCACTGGATGCAGCCATGCTGCCCCTCTGGCCCGTGGAGCAGAAGGCAAAGTGGGACTTCTCAGTACTGGCCTGACACTGTGGGGAAACTTAATGCAAATGCAGCTCTTTGCTCTGACCCATCGCAGGGGAATTTACCTGTGTGGACACTCGGCGGGGGCCCAGCTGGCCGCCATGATGCTCCTGGCCGACTGGACCGAGCTTGGAGTCACACCCAACCTCAAAGGTCTCCACGGGGACTGCAGCCTGGCTGGGCGGCCTTCACCCTCCAGACGGGCCTGAGGTTTGGACCAGCTGTTCCAAGTCCCAGCAGCTGGGAGCGGCTTGACCGCGAGGGCTTTGAGCCCTGTGAGCAGGGCCCTCTCTGCTTCCTCTTGCCACCCCGCCTCCCCGGTTTGCCCCCCTGGCCTGGAGGGTGGGCTGCCTGTCTCGCTGCACCCGAGCCGGGCCACGGGACTGTTCTTCCTCTTCCCAGGCTTTTTCCTGGTGAGTGGGGTCTACGACCTGGAGCCCATCCTGTGCACCTCGCAGAACGCCCCTCTGCACCTGACACTGTGAGTCACCCACCCACCCCAGCCCCGGCTCACCTGGAGCCTGGCTTCTCCCTGCCCTGACTCCCCACACCCCCTACATCAGGGAGGACGCTCAGAGGAACAGCCCCCAGCTGTTGATGGCCCTGACGCAGCCTGCGGATCCCACCTGCCACGTGCTGGTGATCGTGGGCCAGCATGACTCCCCCGAATTCCAGCGGCAGTCCAGGGAGTTTTATCAGGTACTCCCAGTGCCCAGTTTGCGGCCGGAATCAAGGGTCATGTCATCTTCTCATTATCCTCTTGCCTTTACCCAAGTGGACCCCAAGACTGTCAATCATTCATTCATTCAACAAATACTTACTGAGGCCAGGCGTGGTGGGTCACGCCTGTAATCCCAGCACTCTGGGAGGCCAAGGCGGATGGATTGCTTGAGGTCAGAAGTTCAAAACCAGCCTTAGCAAGAGCAAGACCCCGTCTCTACTATAAACAGAGAGAAATTAATTGGACAACTAATATATATATATATATGAAAATAAGCCGGGCATGGTGGCGCATGCCTGTAGTCCCAGCTTACTCGGGAGCTGAGGCAGGGATCACATGAGCCCGGAGTTTGAGTTCCTGTGGCTAGGCTGACGCCACGGCACTCACTCTAGCCTGGGCAACAAAGCAGGCGCGTGCTCACGCCTGTAATCTTAGCACTCTGGGAGGCCAAGGCAGGTGGATCACTCAAGGTCAGAAGTTCAAAACCAGCCTGAGCAAGAGCGAGACCCCGTCTCTACTATAAATAGAAAGAAAATTAATTGGCCAACTAAAATATATAAAAAAAATTAGCCGGTTTTAGGGTAAAATGAGGTTGCGCTGAAATAAAAAAAATGAGGTATAAATTATAAATAAAGAAAAAAAATTAAAGCAAAAAAAAAAAAACTTAGCCAGGCATGGTTGTGCATGCCTGTATTCCCAGCTACTCTGGAGGCTGAGGCAAGAGGATCGCTTGAGCCCAGGAGTTTGAGGTTGCTGTGAGCTAGGCTGACGCCATGGCACTCACTCTATCCCGGGCAACAGAGTGATACTGTGTCTCAAAAAAAAAAAAAAAAAAACCAACAAAACCAGCCTGAGCAAGAGTGAGAACCCATCTCTACTGTAAATCGAAAGAAATTAAGTGGCAACTAATATATACAAAAACTTAGCCGGGCATGGGCGCATGCCTGTAGTCCCAGCTATAGGGAGGCTGAGGCAGGAGGATCGCTTGAGCCCGAGAGTTTGAGGTTGCTGTGAGCGAGCCTGATGTCACAGCATTCACTCTACTGGGCAACAGAGCGAGACTCTGTCTCAAAAAACAAAAACAAAAAATAACAAATACTTACTGAGCTCCTGACAGGCCGGGCACGGTGAGGACGGCCCAGCTCCCCTCCTGGCCTCACCCTTCCTCTTCCCACCGTTTTTCCTGCCCAGACCTGTGCCGAGGGGGGTGGAAAGCGGCGTTGAAGAGCTCCGAGATGTGGATCACTTTGAAATCATCGAGAATCTGACCCAGGAGGACTACGTGCTCACGCAGGTAGGGCCGGGTCCCTTCCCAGCCGCCAGCAGCCCTTCACGGGGGACAGTGGGCTCCCGGCCCGGCCCCTTAGACGCAAGCTGGGATGGTGGGCAGCGCTGCACAAAGGAGCCACCTGAGGTTCTTTGGCACCCAGCAGGCTGGGGCACCCCTGGGTGCCGGTGCCGGGGTCGAATGCCGCACTTGCTTCCCACACACTCCGCCTCCCTCTGGGGCAGCCCCGGCTGATCTCCGGGAAGTCTGGCCCTGGGTACACAGGGGGGATCTGCACGTGCTACCTGGGCGGGGAGAGACAGGTGGAGAAAGTGTTGGCCTATGTGTGTCTAGGAATAAAAGCAAGAGCTGGATGGATGCGGTGGCTCTAATCCTAGCACTGTGGGAGGCCGAGGCTGGAGGATCGCTTGAGCCCAGGAGTTTGAGGTTGCTGTGAGCTAGGTGGACACCACCGCACTCCAGCGAGCATGACAGAGCTAGACTCTGTCTAAAAAAAAAAAAATTAATGCCCAAGCTGTCCAGGGTTCTGCTGTTGGGAGCTTGAGTTTGCTTGACATGTCTGGGGCTCAGCGTGGCAAAGCGCGACCAAACCCACTGACCCAGGAACTCTACCACTAGGAGTTTGACTTCAGTGTTACCAATGAAACGCTCCAAGATGTTCTTTGTTAATATTTGGAACTTGGAAACAACCTAGGTATGCAGGAAGGTTGAATTATGATATAATCAGGCAATAAGATCACATTTGGAAAACTACTTAGGATATGTGAAACTGATTCAGATTAGATTCTGTGAGAGAAAAACCACGAGAAACAACTGGTTAGTGCATTCCTGGTTTCATACTACATAATACTAGGCTTTGGATGTGCGTGTATGCATATGAAAAATCCGTGCTACTAAAAGTCCCCATTTTAAAATCTACATTTTCTACCATGAACGTGTGCATATTACTTTTTTTTTATTGTTTTAGTTCATTACCGTATTTCTTTTTCTTCTCTTTTTCTTATTTCGTTTATTTATTTTTTACTATTAATTTTAATTCTTCTTTATCCTACAACTTGAATTCATGTATTAACTTTTTTCTTTTTAACTCTTTTTTATATCTTTTTTTTCTATAAATTTTTCTTAATTTTGTTTTCTTTGCCATTGTCCTTTAGTTTGCTTTCCTATATTAACTTTTTTTTTTTTGAGACATCTCGCTTTATTGCCCAGGCTAGAGTGAGTGCCGTGGCATCAGCCTAGCTCACGGCAACCTCAAACTCCTGGGCTCAAGAATCCTTCTGTCTCAGCCTCCAAGTAGCTGGACTATAGGATGTACGACCATGCCTGGCTAATTTTATATATATTAGTTGCCAATTAATTATTTCTATTATAGTAGCGCGGGGTCTTGCTCTTGCTCAGGCTGGTTTCTAACCCTGACCTCGATCATCTGCCCGCCTTGCCTCCCAGGGTGCTAGGATTACAGGCGTGAGCCACCGCACCCGCCTTACACTTTTTTTTAACTGTGGAAAGAACAAACACCAGAAACCTAAGAAAGGAACGAGCCTAAGAAAGACACCCCGTTTCTTTAATCCTGGGGAGAGCAGCTCCAATTCTGAGGCTTTGTGTGTCGTCTCTCTCCTGCTGCAGATTATATTGAAACAATATTTCAGGAGTTCTGATGACACCCGGACCCGCCTGCATGCACCCCGATCTGGGAGCTACTCAAGGGTCTTCAGAGCGAAGCCAGCTTCCAGGGCACCCAGCATGGCCAGGGGGGCTTCCTCCCCGGCAGGAGCCCGCTTCTTCCCACTGCCATGGACGCTCGTGACGGTCTCCTCATCCTCCCTCCTCTCGGCCCGGATCGGCTCTGGGGAAGGTCCACAGGTCACCCCTGAGCTGCCTCCTCTGCCAAGTCCGCCACGTGCCTGCTGACACGACATGACAAAAATGACTCAGCCCAACTTGACACCTGTGTTTGTGTGACCCTTAAGCTAAGAATGGTTTTACATTTTTAGACCGTTCAAAAAGAACCAAAAAAGAAATTCGTAAACATGTAAAAATTATATAAAACTCAGTTTTTCAGCATTATAAATAAAGTTGTATTGGAACTGTGAACTAAAATAAATCCTAAGCCTCTCTGCCTTCCCCTGCCTTCCTTCACCTGTGACTCAATGGACTCCATCCTGGCCAAGGGCTATTCCTAAAACTAAATTGCCGCCATGAGGAGGGAGTGCAGACATGCCTCAAAAACCCCTCCCCTTCTGGGGACTCCTTTGTAACCCATTAATAGGCCTAAGGCTATGCAAGACACACCTGCAGTTCTCAATTTACACAACAAATATATGCCCAAGTCCGGTGTTGTCTCTGTTAACAGACTTACTTATCTTTTACATTCCCAAGCCTTTAGAGAAACTTCCTGTCTTTGACCAATTACAAGTCAAAGATCTTTAAACCCACCTGTAATCTGTAAGCCCCACTTTGAGATGGCCACTGTTTCAGACCAATCCAAGGTATGCCTCCCAGTGTTGGATTTATGACTTTAGGTGTAACCGGCTGTCTCCCTGAAATAATAAAAACCAACTGTAACCCTGCCACATGTGAGTCACTTGCTCAAGGCTTCTTGGGCGTGGCTCCGGTCAATGGTCCTCAAATTTGGCTCAGAGTAAAACCTCTTAAAATTATTTTGCAAGGCCAAGGGGTGGATTGCTCGAGGTCAGGATTTGAAACCAGCCTGAGCGAGACCCCACCTCTACTAAAAAAGAAATTAATTGGGCCAACTAAAATATATATACAAAAATTACCCAGGCATGGTGGCGCATGCCTGTAGTCCCAGCTACTCGGGAGGCTGAGGCGGGAGGATCGCTTGACCCCAGGAGATTGAGGTTGGCTGTGAGCTAGGCTGACACCACGTCACTCACTCTAGCCTGGGCACAAAGTGAATCTGTCCCAAAATAAAAAATAAAAAAAAAATTATTTTGCAAAAATTATTTGGCAGAGTTGGCTTCCTTCCGTTGACAGGACACAGCCTGCTCATTCACTTTGCATACGCTGTGACTGCTTGAAGAGAGTAGTCCGAGGGGAACCACCTGGCCCAGCGCATAGAGCACGGCCCATCCTGGCTCTACAGGACGCGTTGCTGTGAGTGAGGCTTCCCCAAGCCGGTCTTGTTTTGCTTCTGCTTCTGTCTGCTCTGCGTCCTGAGTCCTATTTGACATTTGGGCTGTCCTAAATACTGGGAGCTTAGCCTTCAGGCTAAATACCTTGACAGTGAGGAAGCGCATCCACAGGTAGGCGAGCGTCCTCGTGCCCACCCTAGTCTGCGTGCAATTCCCAGGGAGCCAGGTATGTCCATCCACCCACACCCACCCCCCCACCCTCCTCTTTCTCGCGCTCTGAATACTAGCAATTCAAGATTTCCTGATGGGCACTGGGCACAGTGGCTCACACCTATAATCCAGCACTCCTGGGAGGCCAAGGTGGGAGGATTCCTTGAGGCCAGGAATTTGGACCAGCCTGACAGAGCAAGACCTCTGTCTTTACTATAAAATAGAAATTAGCCGCACTGGTGACATACCTGTAGCCCCAGCTCCGGGAGCTGAGGCAGGAGGATCGCTTGGCCCAGGAGTTTGAGGTTGCAGTGAGGCTGTGATGATCACTACACTCCCAGCCTGGTGACAGAGTGAGACTGTCTTTACAAAGAAAAAAATAATG